ATGAGCAATGGACCCATGCATGGCAGCCTTACTCACTGCCATGCATGGGTGATGAGTAGAAGCGTGATGAGCAATGGACCCATGCATGGCAGCCTTACTCACTGCCATGCATGGGTGACGAGTAGAAGCGTGATGAGCAATGGACCCATGCATGGCAGCCTTACTCACTGCCATGCATGGGTGATGAGTAGAAGCGTGATGAGCAATGGACCCATGCATGGCAGCCTTACTCACTGCCATGCATGGGTGATGAGTAGAAGCGTGATGAGCAATGGACCCATGCATGGCAGCCTTACTCACTGACATGCATGGCATGATGAGTAAAAGCGTGATGAGCAATGGACCCATGCATGGCAGCCTTACTCACTGCCATGCATGGGTCGATGAGTAAAAGCGACACGATCTAGCGAGTACAAGGCTTGGATTAGTGGAATCCATGTGTACAACAACCAAAAACGGTGTGAGGACGTACCTCTACAGGGTCAATAAATTTGACCTTGAACATCCTGTGCCACCCCGAAACGCTAAAATTTTCGGTTTTGTAACGCCTTTTCTCAATGCCCAGCTTCTCCAGAGCGTATTTATCGACCGCATGCTTCGTGTTCCAATTCTTCAATGCTTTTATGTCAAATCCGGCGTGCTTGATGAGCTTGAAGAACCACCACACGTCATGCGCGCTGAGACCGACTCCCTTGTTGCATGAAGCTAAGAACTTGAAAGTTTCCAACAGCGTGTCGAACTCCGGTGTCTCTTCGGGTTCATCAACGTCGGCAAAGGAGGAGTTGGCGTCGTGGAAAACCTCCTCACGGTCACATTCCATCGCTGCCGCTGAGATTGGCGTTTCCACATGGTGCGTGTCTTCTTTCGTCGCCACTCCAACGTCGGGAATGACAGTGGAGGTGTATGGGATTCCCGGAAGCACGTCATTCTCAGTGTTACGAGATATATTTGCTCTTGCACGTGCATGTGCAAGCAAGCATTTGTCGCTGCGCTCGTGGTTTGAGAGTGCAACCTCGTTGTCGAATGAAACCTCACAAGTCTCGCAGCTGAAACCATCTGTTGGCAAGAATAGCCTTTCCATCTCGCAGCATCCTTGAGGCATTGGTGATTCAAAGCGAGATGTCATGTCAAGGCGTTCGGCGAGAAGCACCAATAGAAGTAGTGCTATAACGCACCGTAGCCGTATGGCATGAAGATTAGGGCCCATTGAGAAGAGACCACATTACAGAGGTTTCTGAAAAGAATGGTGAATCAGCCGGGCTTGCTCCGATTATGAATGGGCTGCTAGACTGTTGTGAGTACTATCTGAGAGAAATTTGGCTGGGTAGGGAAGGGGGGAAGGGTGACGAGTTTCTTGCTGGAGTCGCGAGGCTTCTGGTTACTTGGTGGTTTGGCAAGGGCTGGGATTAGCACTGTACTAGAGTCTAGCTGCATCTGATTGGTTGGAGTACAGGAAGTGGTTGAGATTTGTCGCCAGAGCGAGTCGCATTTCCAAATCTGAGATTTGAACAACCAAATCACTCCTTACTGGTTTGTGCAAACCCTTCATTGAGGTTCTCGATATTACAGGTAGCTCTATATGGGATTGCAAAACAAATACAAACTGTTTTGGATATACCCGATGTAAGGCGCTTGAGATCTCTGTACATTGCATTAGTGGAATTGTTCCGAGTGTAAGTACATGATTCTCAGGCATCAGCCATAAAATAATGTTATGATTGCTCATGTCAAGTCAGAAATATAGACACGAATAACATCAGCAGTTCATCGGAGCAGTGAGACCAAAAATCATCATAACCAAACCCATCAGGCATTGTCAAGCTTAAGAGGTGTTTTTTCAGAATACATGGCGTGATTATGCCAGTAGGTTTTGTTGTTTGAAAAATAGGTGCCCGTAGTGCCGGCGCGCCTTAACCGTCTCGCGGCTTGTGACGACTGCCGTTCAGATATGTGGCTCACAGCTTGGACAGGTCGCGCCTGGAGGTGCATTTGGACAGGTCACGCCACGGAATGTTTTGGAAACTTTACTAGCGTAGCATCTTAACGTCATTTACTGATTGGCGTTTGTTGGAGGCGTGTAACCGGGCGCGCGCCATGCTAATAAAATACCGTATCACTTGTGAAGTCGGTATCGTCACGGAAAACGAATACCAGCGTCCGTAACAGGCTGGCGGAACTCCGAGAAGACGCTGATAACAGATGGGAATGAACGGGTGGTGCTCTGCCGATCTGATGCTGGAGTTGGTAATAAAATAGCGCATTGCAGTCGTTGTCGTGTCGTCTAAAGAACACGTGGAAACCGTGAAAAAATCGGTGGGAACTGTGATGACAAGTAAGACAGCAGGTAATGAACGAGTGGTGCCATAGTGCTCTGCTCTCTTTCTATCGTGCGTATTTGAAGAAGAGAGTGAAGTTGAGAGCCTACCCCCCGCACGCCCAGCAGGTCAGGCTACGTGAAGTTTGTTGAATACACCTGCCTAGCAACGCGCTCGAACAAACACACATTCGTGACCAACAACCAACAGAAACAGAGTTGTCAACCAACCAGCATGTCAACACCCACGTTACAAAACGGTTAAAAACCTTGAAATTTCCATAAACAACGTTACATATGAAGACATTCATGAGTCATCAATAGTATTAAACCTGGTGTCACTAATGATGTAAAAAGGGCGTCAACTGAAAATGGTGCCATTCGTACTAATGACGTAGTATTGAACAACGAATGATATGAAACCGAGCGATGACAGACCTGAACTGCAGATGATGCCCTTTCGACGTTGCATTGTTAAATTTTGCAAGGTTTTTTACCACCACTGAGTCATGAATGATATTAGAAGGGTTTCAAAACATTTTGGTGCCATTCGCATGACTGGCAAACGAGTGACGCAGTTTTGAACGTCGAATGATGTGAAACCATGCGAGTACAGACCTGGATTCCAGATGATGCCGTCCCAAACGCTGCGTTGTTGGTTTTTGCAAGGTTTCCTCACACCACTGAGTCATGAATGATATTAGAAGGGTTTCAAATCATTTTGGTGCCATTCGCATGACTGGCGAACGAGTGACGCAGTTTTGAACGTCGAATGATGTGAAACCATGCGAGTACAGACCTGGACTGCAGATGATGCTGTCCCAAACGCTGCTTTGTTGGTTTTTGCAAGGTTTCCTCACACCACTGAGTCATGAATGGTATTAGAAGGGTTTCAAATCATTTTGGTGCCATTCGCATGACTGACGAACGAGTGACGCAGTTTTGAACGTCGAATGATGTGAAACCATGCGAGTACATACCTGGACTGCAGATGATGCTGTCCCAAACGCTGCTTTGTTGGTTTTTGCAAGGTTTCCTCACACCACTGAGTCATGAATGATATTAAAAGGGTGTGAAATCATTTTGGTGCCATTCGCATGACTGGCGAACGAGTGACGCGGTTTTGAACGTAGAATGATATGAAAACGAGCGATGACAGACCTGGACTGCAGATGATTCCCTTTCGAAGTTGCATTGTTAAATTTTGCAAGATTCTTTCACACCACTGAGTCATGAATAATATTAGAAGGGTTTCAAATCATTTTGGTGCCATTCGCATGACTGGCGAATGAGTGACGCAGTTTTGAACGTCGAATGATGTGAAACCATGCGAGTACAGACCTGGACTGCAGATGATGCCGTTCCAAACGCTGCGTTGTTCATTTTTGCAAGGTTTCCTCACACCACTGAGTCATAAATGATATTAGAAGGGTGTCAAATCATTTCGTTGCCATTCGCATGACTGGCGAACGAGTGATGCTGTTTTGTACGTCGAATTATTTGAAACCGTGCGAGTACAGACCTGGATTGTAGATTATGCCATTTCGACGATGTGTTTTTTGAGTTGCATTGTTTTTTCTTAGAACCTGAGTCCTTTATAGTGCAAGCTGTTCGTCACCGCCAATTAGTTTTCATTCTCAAAATGTTATGGTTTTCAACTGGAGCTTTTGAGGGAATGTTTATCGTTTTCTATATACAAAACTAGAATGGTATGTTTTTTAAACCATTCTGAACCTAGATCGAGGTTTAGACAAAACGATAGACTTCCTGATGGCATCCGAGTTTAACACGAGAGGTGCATGAACTCAACCTCAGCGGTTGGATGTGCTGAGGGTTTCGTTATCGAGGGCTAGGAGAGCTTCACGCGAACCCTGGAACAAGTCTGGGTGTTGTTCCTTGTCCATCTCCTTGCTCGACGTTTTCCAAGCCTTGGCCATGCTCTATCTGCTCTGTTCGACTGTTTGAATTTTGAGATTTTGAACTTGAGATCTCTGTACCAACCCTAGCCCACGACCACAGCGACTCAACTCACCTTACACCATGCCTTGCGTTCGGTACCAACCCTGGCCGACCACCACAGCCACTTACCCCAGATATCTGCCAGGCCTAGCGTCCAGTTCTCAGCTGATTAGGGGAGCGTCACCTGCTGTCAACGCATTACCATACCTTACCTCCCTCCCAAGCCTGCTTCAGTGACACAGTCATTACCACAGACTGCGACCAGGCCTAGCGTCCAGTTCTTAGCTTTGCTATGGAGCGTCACTTGCTGTCGGCGCGTTGCCTACTGCCTCCATTCCCAAGCCTGATTCAGTGACGAGTCTTACTTTGCACCATCTAACTTGGAGTCACGGTATTTTCGTAGTACATTATGGCGGGTCCGCTTCATTTTCCGCACAAACTTACCGAGAATCACTCTTCAAAGCTTCTCTACTACTTCAGCCATGGAACAGTCTAAGGCACCTGCTACCGCCCTAATCTCTTCCATCCGCGGGCGTCGCCAAAATGGCCGGTTTCCTGCGATGCCGGAACCCAGGCAATTCGTGCTGCTTCGATAGGCCATGCTACCTCTCTCGGTATCAACGTGGCGGCTCGACCATCTTCTCCGGAAAGTGAGTTTTGTGATGTTACTTTTTGCACACCATTTTACGCTCTGTACCATGCTTCCTTATGTTGATTCCGCAAGCCAATGAGAGATGTTGACACATTGTTGCTGGATTTCATTTGTGCAGGTCCTGTTCGGACGCGCTCCTTACACGCTGTGTTTTCCGATGCGGTAGGAAGTCAGCCGCGTCACGAGGAGAATCGGCCGCTCAACACCAGTGGTCATGCTCCACAAATCCCGGCCTCGCGTGGTGATACAACTTCCGCTCACGTCAATGGCGTGACAACGCCGTCTGCTCACCATTCTCTGCGTTCCGGAAGTCAGGGCCGGTCGGGTGGGCGGCGAGCAGGTCAGGCGGCCCGCCAGAGTTCCGCCAATGCCGCAGGGCACACGTCTGCTGCTGCTGGCGCAGGCCAGCAGTTCCGCCCAGCTGCAGGGAGCAACACCGCCGCTGCTACATCTGGCGGGCTGCTTGGCGAGACTGCTGGGCTGACGTCTTCTGCTGCTGGCGCCGGCCAGCAGTTCCGCCCAGCTGCAGGGAGCAACACCGCCGCTGCTGCATCTGGCGGGCTGCTTGGCGAGACTGCTGGGCTGACGTCTTCTGCTGCTGGCGCCGGCCAGCAGTTCCGCCCAGCTGCAGGGAGCGACACCGCCGCTGCTGTATCTGGCGGGCTGCTTGGTGAGACTGCTGGGCTGACGTCTTCTGCTGCTGGCGCCGGCCAGCAGTTCCGCCCAGCAGCTGGGACGGCCTCGGCCTACACTGCACCTGGCGGTCAGCTGCGCCAGGCTGCTGGGAGCAGCTCTCCTGACCCTGCATCTGGCGGTTTGTTCCGCCAGCCTGCGGGTCTGACCTCCGGCGACCCTGGACCTGGTGGTCCGTTGGGGCAAGCCGCATTGAACAGCTCTCCTGACCCTGCACCAGGCGGTCCATTTATCCAGGCCGCTGGGAGGAGCTCTCCTGACCCTGCATCCGGCCGTCGGTTGGGGCACGAGGATGAGAGGAGCTCCGCTGACCCTTCAGCTGGCGGCCAACTGGGACAAGTGGCTGGGTGGAGCTCCGCCAACACTTCTACTGGCGCTGTTTTGGTCCAGGCCGCTGGAAGACCTTCAGCCGACCATGCTCCTGGCGAGATGCGCACGATGGCCGCTGGGCACACTTCCACTGAGACCCATGATGGCAGCATGTTCCCGCCGTCATGCGAACCGGCTCCGGACGCCCATTTCTGCCCGTCTGCTGGCATGACCTCCGCCGACCCTGCTGTTGATGGCGTGTTAGGCCAGGCTGCTTGGAGGACCGACGCCAATCCTGCTGCTGGGGTGCTGCTAAGGCCAACCGCGAGGCGCATCCCCGATGACAGCAATACTGACGGCGTGTTCTCCCCGCCTGGAGGCGCTGAGCTTGGCGGCCACGTTGGCGAGGCCAATGGGAGGACCTGGACCAACTCTGCAGCGGGCGAGCCGCTCGTCCCGAACGCTGGTGGCACCGAGGCCGGTGATGCTGTGGGCGTTCAGACACGAGATGCGTATGGGCGGGCCACTACACACGCTGCTGCTCATGAACTGCACGGGCATGTGGCAGAACCAACCTCTGATGTTGAAGAGGCGCGTGCCGCACATCGTGCGCTCCAGCGTGAGAACCAGCGGCTGTTGAATGAGCTTGAAGAGCTTAGGCGTTCGCTTTCTCGGTCAACGTCACCTGCTGAGACCTCTGGTGGTGCGGGCGAGCAGCAGGAACCGTCTCCAAACTCTGGGAATGTCGCAGCTAATGTGCAGCCAGGAAGGCATCCCATCGCACCGATCAACGATCGGCTGCTTGGAAGGGCTGTTGGGAACGCTCACGCCCAGGGAACCGAGCATGGCCTGCAGCACTTGACCCCGGAGCAGGAGGTCCTCGCATTCGACCTTGCTGCAGCGATGAGGCGAGTCCCTGAGGTCAACAAAGGGCTTTATGTAAGTATTTTGCATGCTTCCACTCCATCCACATTCTTATATTTTCGCCTCTCATGATTACGCAGGAAGCACTTTCTCAATCTCGTATCTTGGTTCTCAATGTGACACACTATCAACATGCTGCGTGTGTTACTTCCCCTCTATCACCAGGTGGCAATGTTGGATGCGCTCACCGTTCTTTTCTGGGATATGCCGGATGGTAGGATGGACTTCTGGCCATCTCGGAAGGTGCTGCTGGGAGCGCTTGCTGTTGCTTTGAAGTACAAGACGGTTGGTCAGCGGACCGACCTGCTTCATGTGTATCTTTTTGACCCAGTTCGACGTGGCTATATCCGCAACAAGCTGCAGGATGGACGGAATGTCATTCTGCACACCGGTCGATGCGGTATTTACAGAGCGTTTGACTTGTACATTCAACGCCCCAACCAAAACCGCAAGCTCATGGGTTCCACCTTGATCGAGGCGTGGAAAGTGCAATACAAGCCAGGTATGTCTCTGTTGCCCCACTACCTGCAAGGAAATGCTTTTTGATCCCATATCCCTGTGAGCAGCCTGGCTACTGCATGCCTTGTATCGCCAGCTGTAGTCGAGGCTAGGCAATCACCTCACCCCACCCCCCTTCGCTCCACTCCCCTCTCTCTTTCCTTCCCGTCCCCTGCTCAGGTTAAAAATTGCCAACAAAGTGCTAATTGGAGATTCAGGGGAGGGTGCTGAAAGAAACCCTTTTCATCCAACCTCCATCCATCCCCCTCCGGTCCTCTCTCCCCTGCCTTCGCACCCCCATATCCCTGTGAGCAGCCTCCCTGCTGCATGCCTTCTATCGCTAGCAGTAGTCGAGACTAGGCAATCACCTTACCACCCAACCCCCTTCACCACTCCCCTCACTCCTTCCCTTCCCCTGCTCAATCAAGAAAACCGCCTGTAGATTGCTCGCAGGAGATTCAGGAGAGCTTTATGAAAAATAAAGTTAAAAACGTTTTTATCACACCCCCTTTACGTCAACTCCCGCTTCCCTTCTCTCTGTCCTGCCTTCTCACTACATATCCCTGTGAGCAGGCCTCGTACTGCATGTCTTTTCCGCCAGCTGTGGTTGAGGCTAGGCAATAACCTTACCCTACCACCCTTCTCTCCACTCCCCTCTCTCCTTCCCGTCCCTCTCAGTGAACTAAGCCGCCAGCAGTGATGCTCACAGGAGATACCAATAAGCATGCTAGAAATTTCGCTCTCATTCCACCTCCTCTCAACACCCGCTTCCCTTCTCTCTCCCCTATAACTCACCCCATATCTCAGCAGCCCCACAGGTGCATGCTTTGTATCGCCATCCGTAGTCGAGGCTAAGCAATCACCTCACCCCAACCCCCTTTAATCCACTCCCCGCTCTCCTTCTCGTCCCTATTCATTGAAAAAAACCGCCAGCATAGTGCTCACAGGCGATTCAGGGGAGGTTGCTGAGGAATTTGTTCTCATCCCCACCTCCTTCTCTCAATTCCCGCTTCCCTTCTCTCTCCCCTATACCTTCTCACCCCATATCTCAGCAGTCCCACTGGTGCATGTCTGGTATCGCCAGCTGTAGTCGAGGCTACGCAATCCTCCACCCCACCCTCCTTTACTCCAGTTCCCTCCCTCCTTCCCGTCCTTTAGTGAAAAACCGCCAGCATAGTGCTCACAGGCGATTCAAGGGAGGGTGCTGAAGACCCTGTTCTCATCCCACCTCCTCTCAATTCCCGCTTCCCTCCTCTCTCCCATGTGCCTTCCCCAAATCCTTGTGAGTAGACTTCCTGTTCCATGCCTTGTATCGCCAGCTGTAGTCGAGGCTAGGCAATAACCTCACCCCACCCCCCTTCACTCACTCCCCTCTCTCCTTCCCTTCCCCTGCTCAGTGACAAAGCCTGGCTACTGCATGCCTTGTATCGCCAGCTGTAGTCGAGGCTAGGCAATCACCTCACCTCACCCCCCTTCGCTCCACTCCCCTCTCTCTTTCCTTCCCGTCCCCTGCTCAGGTTAAAAATTGCCAACAAAGTGCTAATTGGAGATCCAGGGGAGGGTGCTGAAAGAAACCCTTTTCATCCAACCTCCATCCATCCCCCTCCCGTCCTCTCTCCCCTGCCTTCGCACCCCCATATCCCTGTGAGCAGCCTCCCTGCTGCATGCCATCTATCGCCAGCAGTAGTCGAGACTAGGCAATCACCTCACCACCCAACCCCCTTCACCACTCCCCTCACTCCTTCCCTTCCCCTGCTCAATGAAGAAAACCGCCTGTAGATTGCTCGCAGGAGATTCAGGAGAGCTTTATGAAAAATAAAGTTAAAAACGTTTTTATCACACCCCCTTTACGTCAACTCCCGCTTCCCTTCTCTCTGTCCTGCCTTCTCACTACATATCCCTGTGAGCAGGCCTCGTACTGCATGTCTTTTCCGCCAGCTGTGGTTGAGGCTAGGCAATAACCTTACCCTACCACCCTTCTCTCCACTCCCCTCTCTCCTTCCCGTCCCTCTCAGTGAACTAAGCCGCCAGCAGTGATGCTCACAGGAGATACCAATAAGCATGCTAGAAATTTCGCTCTCATTCCACCTCCTCTCAACACCCGCTTCCCTTCTCTCTCCCCTATAACTCACCCCATATCTCAGCAGCCCCACAGGTGCATGCTTTGTATCGCCATCCGTAGTCGAGGCTAAGCAATCACCTCACCCCAACCCCCTTTACTCCACTCCCCTCTCTCCTTCTCGTCCCTATTCATTGAAAAAAACCGCCAGCATAGTGCTCACAGGCGATTCAGGGGAGGATGCTGAGGAATTTGTTCTCATCCCCACCTCCTTCTCTCAATTCCCGCTTCCCTTCTCTCTCCCCTATACCTTCTCACCCCATATCTCAGCAGTCCCACTGGTGCATGTCTGGTATCGCCAGCTGTAGTCAAGGCTACGCAATCCTCCACCCCACCCTCCTTTACTCCAGTTCCCTCCCTCCTTCCCGTCCTTTAGTGAAAAACCGCCAGCATAGTGCTCACAGGCGATTCAAGGGAGGGTGCTGAAGACCCTGTTCTCATCCCACCTCCTCTCAATTCCCGCTTCCCTCCTCTCTCCCATATGGCTTCCCCAAATCCTTGTGAGTAGACTTCCTGTTCCATGCCTTGTATCGCCAGCTGTAGTCAAGGCTAGGCAATAACCTCACCCCACCCCCCTTCACTCACTCCCCTCTCTCCTTCCCTTCCCCTGCTTCTGTTATGCAACACCGTTCTGTTTTGCAATGCCTGAATGTGTGTGCAGTCGATGGGTCTTACGATCTGTACACGTGGCATTGCAACCAGAACGGGGTCCCTTTCTCCAACGCTGTCTTCACGCGCTTGATTGCGGCGTCTTTCCGCCGCGATGGGGAGGATGTCCTTGTGCTGAAGCTCAAACAGATTGCTTTTTGGCTGTATGGGGTGAGTGAGCGTAACGTCCTTTTTCTGAATTGAGTGTAACGCATACTAGTTGTAATTCATGAATGCCTTCTTTTGTCCTGCAGGTAGAGCACAAGATCATACATGGGGAAGAATTGCCCCGCAGCACGACAAGGAACAGAGAAGGTGTTGTGCTGTACCACAACAACGTGCGACGTTGGGCGCGAGACGCAGTCGACACGAGCACCAATGCTACGGGTCCCTGGTGGGACAGTTCCAACAATGCCTGGCGCTTTTCGCGCTCGGACTGCGGCGTTTTTATTAGCCAGGAGGGCTTGGATGATATTTGAGTATGGCGCGGTGCTTGATGGGTATTAGCAGTTAGAGGAAGGACCTCAATTATTACTGTAGCACTCGTATTGCTGAAAAACGAGTGCATATTAATCTGGAAATATATCAAGATTTATAGTAAATATATAATATATAAAATTGTTTCACGAATTATGATTCACGTGTACACCCAAATTAATTTTGTAAAATGTATTGTTAGTAACAAAGTAACGTAGTAGCGCTGTAACAATTTGTTTATTGATATGCGCATCGGAAAATGGCATTCTACGTTTGAGTGTATGCGTAACTAGAGTCGTAACCAAGTTGACTTCATGTAATCGCCGGATTGATGTCGCAACCAATAAGAATAATCTGTCGCGAACCAATACGATGAAGTTGATGGCGATTGGGCTCACCGCGGTAGCCCATCCCTGCAGACCAAATGACGAGCTCCGATTGGTCAGTTATTTCAAAGTTACGATAAAGCAAGATTTGGGTGGACATGAGATTAACGGCTGAGATTCGACGGTTTAGATTCCGAGAAGTTTCTCTTGAAGCCGAGTCATTTCAAAGTTACGAGAGGGAATGTTGGCCACAATCTTTGGAGTAGGTGTTGGAAAACCTACCGAAATGCTACCCCAAAGTTGCCAGGTGGTAAGAAACGAAACCCCCGCGTTTTGGGATGTGTAAAACCCTGCATGTTTCCGGTATATCCACGGGCGTTAGCTCAGACTCACCTGAACCAGCACAGTAAGCTTGTTGACGCCTATCTTTCGATTCATATACCATGCCTCGCTCATACATCAACAAGCTATCAGATGATCTCCTCGAAAGCATGTCAGATAAACCCTAAACCCTAAACCCGAAACCCTTCTCTCCTGGCACTCTCAAAAGCATATCTCTGTTCGCCGTCAACCCGAAAGCAGCGGTTACCAATCATTGGTTTACGTCTCAGCTCGGCCGAGATACTCCTCCGAAAGCCCGTATGGTGAAGATCTCGACACCTTAGGAGGCTCTTCGGAACCGTCCTCCCTACAGCCGCAAAACGGCGATAATGCTACTTCTACAACCACTCCGTTGTCGGCTCCTACCTTACTTACAGATCCGGCCTACAACCTCCTTATCGCGTCCGTTTGCCATCGCCGGCGTCGCGTGGCTCGCTGTCAGGTCTCCATGCTCCTCGTGAAGAAAAGCGTCGTCGTTTCGCTCCAAGATCTCACCGCTGCCATCAAGTGCTTCCCCAACCTCTCACATCTGCATCTCAACGACAACAGCGCGGAGACAATGAACGACGCGTTCTTTGAGTTCCTCTCGTCGGCATGCCCTAAATTGGTTTCCTTGCACGTGGGGAAGGAGATCGCTCCGAACTGGGACTGGGAGCGGGAGGACGAGCATCCTGAGACCGAAGCTGGTTTGGGCCGTTTCATCCGTCGCTGCACTTAATTGCAGCACCTCTCGCTCTACTGCTTGCATCGATACGGCCATGTGCCGGATGCTCTCTCGCTACTCACCGACCTGCACACTCTCGCTCTTACTGAAGCCTCGCCCCTTGAGGCTCCGGGATTCTCGAGATTGTCTGCTCTCACCGCCCTCTCCGTCGACATTCCAGGACAGGAAGAGCTGAATCCCTCGAGCCTCGCGCATCTACCGGCCTTCGCGACCCTCGCCTTGTTCGACGAGACGTGGCTGAAACTAGAAGGCGCCGACTCTCACCCCTTCTCGTTCGGCCAGGTGCCTTCGCTGAAAGCGTTGGAGTTTTGTCAAACATATATGCTATAGTCTGTCTAGGCTGTAGTGGGGTAGTTCATATAGGGTACAACACTTTTTAGGTTTCCTACTTGTACCCACCTGCTTGCTAATTCAGTCATTCCTTCCTTCACTATTCTGACATGGTATTCTGAGCAGGTTCCCTCGTGGGAACGTTTTTTTTTTTAGGGCCCACCACGATTTTTTTCCTGCCCTGCCCGAAGCGCGCCTCGCGCCTGCCTCACCTGCGCCGTCGCACGCCCTGCCCAAGTGCCGCCTGTCGCGGCCCTGCCTTCTCGGCCCGTCGCAGCCCTGCCTTCGCTGGCCTGTCACGGCCCTGCCTTCGCCGCCCGTCGCTGGCCTGTCGCCGCTCGTCGCGGCCCTGCCTTCGCCGCCAGTCGCGGCCCTGCCTTCGCCGCCCTGTCGCGGCCCTGCCTTCGCCGCCCGTCGGTGGCCCGTCCCGGCCCGTC